AGAATGATGAGGGCAATGAATGTACAAATGTGCTTTACACAATTGATGTAGGTATGGATTGTGGTAAGAGTTGTATGAGCCCCTAATAAAACGATTTAAAGAAAATAAATAAATCAGGCCCCTTCTGCTGTGTGAGAGTCAACATGGAAGCGATGCACTAGACCAATAGCATCCGATAAGCCCCCTCCCCACCCTGTGCAGTAACTCTGATCAGTAACATGGACGGCTCAAAGGACAAACAGATCTGTCTGGGAAGAAGTACGGCCAGAGTGCTCCTTAGAGGCAAGGATGGCAAGATTTCATCTCATATATTTTGGACATGTTGTCAGGAGAGACCAGTCCCTGGAGAAGGACATTGTGTTTGGTAATGTGGAAGGGCGGTGACTGAGAGGAAGGCTCTGGACAAGACGGAATGGCACAGTGGCCGCATCAATGGGCTCAAACAGAAGGGAACTTGTGAGGGTGGTGCAGGAGTGGGCAGTGCTTCTTTCTATTGCGCACAGAGTTGCTTTGGGTAGGAACTGACTGGGTGGCACCTCCCCGCAGCAACGCGAGCATTAGGAGAGAGCATGCTGGATGAGAAAGGGACGCCCCTTCTCTGTGGTTCCTCTTCCTGCTGGAAACCTCAGAAACAGCCGGTCTGCCCTTTGCCCCATCCCCGAGCACCAGCTCTGTGCCCACCCACCCCTGGGCCCCCGCACAGTGGCTCACCCATCAGGGAGCAGGTAGTACTGGCAGGACATGGGGATGCCCTCCTCTGAGTGGACCGTCTGCTCTATGATGAACACTTCCGCCTGCTGACGGCCCATCTGGAACGTCTGGAAGCCCAGGGCTTGCTGGCAGCCGCCAAAACGGAATGGGAGGTGAGGTAGATGCCAGCTTGGGGCTCCCACAAAATCTCACCGTGGCTCTTCCTCTGTCTCCCACCTTCATTCATAGTTTTCCAGTGATAAGCCACTCCCAGCTGTCCAGAGCCCCAGGTGCCAAATGATTTGAGTCGCACCCACCATATAAGTTGGGGGATCCCCTCAGAGAGCTATCTCCAGCCTGCCTGTCTTAACCCTTCCCTGTGATCTCTCTGACCAAGGGCTTCTAGCGAGTTGGCAGATTCTGTGGAAGGGATGAAGACCCACTTGTTAGGTTTGGGCTGTGGAGTGGAGGGGGCATGTAGTGAGGCCTTGGAGGGCAAAAGACTATCAGGAAACATACGTAGGAGCCCTGGTAGTGTAGTGGTTAAGCGGTGGGCTTCAAACTGCAAGGTAAGCAGTTCTAAACCACCAGCAGCTCATCCAGAGAAGATGGGGCAGGCTTTCTACTCCCGTAAAGAGTTACAGTCTGGGAAACTCACAAGGGGCAATTCTACCCTGTCCTACAGGGTCACGATGAGTTGGAATCAACTTGACAGTGAATTTGGTGGGTTTTTTTTAGCTAACTGCAAGATCAGTGGGTCAAACCCACTAGCTACTCTACCGGACGAAGATGAGTTCGTCTCTTCCCATAAAACTAGGAGCTCTGTGGTGTAGTGGTTCAAAGTTTGGCTGCGACCTGCAAGGCCGACAGTTTGAAATCACCAGCAGCTCCTCCGAAGAAAAACGGGCTTTCTATTCCCATAAGCAGTTACAATCTTGGAAACCCACAGGGGTAGTTCTACCTTGTCCTATAGGGTCGTTATGAATCCGCATTTATTTGATGGCAGAGAGCTTGGTTCCCCTAAAGATTTAGTCTCTGCCATCCTAGTCTGTCAACAGGGACACTGAGTTGGAATTGACTGGCTGGCGGTGGGCTTCAGGGTTTTGTCTGCATTGTAGTGGTTGCTCTTTGAGTGCGTGTGATAGGAAAGAGCCTTGATTGAAGGACTAAAATGTAATTTACAACCCCACAGAGTCTGCACAAGTTCAGCGTTGCCATCACACACTGCAGGAGGTGTGTTGGTCTTTCCATTTTAAGCCCGAAGTAAAATGACGGAGAACTCATTAAATAATATTTAAGTGCAGTCAGAGATGATAGTGCATTTCCGGATTCTTAAAACTGCCCGTTTCCAAAGCATTTCTCCCTCTGCTTTTCCAGAACGGACTTCTGGGCAGTAGGGTTGCTCCCCTGGATGGCACTCCCTTCCATCTCCCTCACTGCCCCACCTGCTCCGGGGCTGGTTCCTGAGTGCCTCCTGCCCTCACAACCTCCCCAGCCCACCTCTGACCCTCTCTGTCCCTATCACATGGAGAATGTCCCGTCTGGTGCCCTCATCCCCAGGGGATTCCCTCACGTAGGTGGCATAGCAGAGTTTGCCCTCTGTGTCCAGGGCCAGGAAGCGGGCGTTGCTGGGCACCATCTGCCGCCAGGCCATCACTCTGAGCATCACCAGGTTGGCAGCCTCCGAGAGGAAGCCGGCAGTGGAGTTCCAGGGAAAAGATGTCACTTCTGTCTTCACTTCCTGTTCAGGAGAAAGCTGGGTGAGGGACCTCAAGCTGGGAAAGGGGGTGGGGGGCGGGGAGTGGAGTGAGAGTTGGGCAAAGGGTCCTGGCTTCTGGCCTGACCCCGTCTGCACACTGCTCAGGGCCCTGGAGAGGTTCTGGAGGATGCTTCCCCACTGGCTCTGGTCCTTACCTCCCCCTCCTTGACCATCCTGGTCACATCCAGCTGATTGTCCACCCGCACCAGCTTGGTCTTCCGCTCCATGGGGAGGACGAGAAACTGGGGCCGGAGCATAGAAGTGGGAATCAGGAGCTTTTAAGATTTGGCACAAAGGGGGCTCCATCCCCCCTAAGAAGTCATTGTGCCCACTCTCCTTTACAGAGAAAAGTCAGGGGAGGTTTCGAAGAACACTCTCTCTATAGTAGAACTCCCAAGTGTAGAAGTCAGGAACCACTGAGATTGAGGCCTTTAGACATCCTTCAAACCTGGACCTCAACTCAGCCCCTGGGCTCAACTTTCAACCAAAGGAGAGGGCTGGGTGAACCAAAGAGGAGGGTAGGAGCTCAACGATACAAAGATGCTCAGAGGAAACGGGGAGGGAGTGGCAAGAGTGATGTGACACGTGGGGACCACAATAGAGGTCACAAAACAAAATGTGTAGGGATTGCTGGGTGGAGAAGCAATTTGCTCCGTACACTCTCATTTAATTAAAAAAAAATTTTTTAAGAGTCAAAGCCATAGGGTGATGTTATACAAAGTGCATTTCGGAATGAGGATGTTTTAAAGGATAGGAATGGTTTCCGGGGCAAAGTCCTGCATGGTTTCCAGGGTATGAACGGTTTGAGTGGTGACTGTGTAGGAAGTGGCTCGGGAGGTCCAGGAGATGAACCCTTGGGGAAAGCCCTGCCCAGAGCCCCAGCCCCTTGGAGAGTACCCTGGGCTCAGTTCAGGTTTTGTTTAGCCAAGAAGGTCCTTAGAAGGTCCCTGCTGCCTCCTGGGTCACTCCGTTTCCGGTCTTGGGTGTTGACATTGCAGAAGACAGTGGATGTCATTCCCCTGAACACCCTCCCCCCTCCATACACATACCTTCGCTCCTCCCTCGCCCCAAGGCCTTTTTTCTCCCCCCCCTGGGTTGAGGTCAAGGTTGAGGACCCTGGGAGCTACCTTGATAAACTCCTGACTGTGCTGTTCCAAGGTCTCCATTTCCCCTGTGATATGGCCTAGAAGGGGAGGGAGGAGGCACAGACAGACAGCATGGCAAATATGATTAGACATAGGCAGGCAGAGCAGGGAGGCAGGTGGCCCAGGCTGGGGCGCTGGGGAGGCCATGTGGCCACAGAAGATGTGTGGGTGGCTTGGTGCTGCTGTCGATTTGTGCGTGATGGTGATGGTCTTATACCCTCTTGTCCCCAGGGGAAGTGGAGGGATGGTTCTAACTAAGGGTCCTGGGTGGTGGTGGGCTGGAGAAGAGAGGATGGGGCCCCAGGCCAGGCAGTGGGAGCTCTACCCAGGATGGAGTTTCCACAGCGCATGTTGTCCAAGGAGCTTCGGCTGAAGGCATGCACCTGGAGGTAGAAGGCGCTGACCGAAAGGTCATCTCTGTACTGCCCTTTCTGCACGTCCACAGTCAGCTCTCCCAGAGGCTCCCCTGTGTCTGAGACCATGGCCAGGGTCTCAGAGAACAGCAACAGTTCCAGCTGCTTGGGTTCTGGGGTGAGCGAGAGTCCCATGGGGACAGGTGAAACCCTGGGTCGTTGGCCTCAGCCCCCTGGCTCCCCTGCCTTCTGCCCTCCAAGATCTCTACCCTCTTCCTCCTCCCTCCTCATCTTGCACCCCTCCCCCTTCATCTCTACAACACTCAGCAAGTGAATAAAGCCAGCAGAGAAGCCCCACCCCCTTTCTATTGAGTCGGAGAATATGAAGGCTGAGAGAGACAAGGGCAAGGTCAGAGCCCGTCTTTGGGGCTGATCGGACCCACCCAGACTGCCCCCCACCCAGGCCAGGGCTCACGGAGGGATCTGAGGAAGTCGATGGCTTCTGCATTGGCCGTCGGGAGTGGCTTACTCTCCTTCTGCGTTGACGGTGGTCGCAGTTCTTTAGCGCGGAGGCCTGTGGAGGGAGGAGGGCAGACCTTGGAGAGAGGGGCAGGGGCTCTGATCTCTATCTCAATAGCAGAATTCTCCGCGCCCCACCCCCACCCCACCAGTGGATTGGGAGATAGAAGAAACCCCCCTCCCTTCCCAGGCCGTGTGTGTGTGTGTGTGTGTGTGTGTGTGTGTGAACATCCCACCGAGCCCACTTTCCACCTGTGGAAGGAAGTTTGAAGGACATGTCCGCTGGCTGCCCTAGTAAGTGTCCAACTGTTGCCATAGCAACCGGGAGCTCGTTACTGCCTCTTAAAGGGCCATCAACCATTTCACAAAACACCCAGCCCTTAGGAGGCCATGCGGTTCTGGGGCTCAGCCCACGTATTGTCCAGCAGAGGGAGCATTGGACATTCCAACCCTGTAGGACCGAGAACTCCTTAGCGTTCCTGAGACCGTCAGGCCCCATGGGAGCAGCAGCCTCTGCTTTCTCCTGCGGAGTCACTAGTGGGTCTGAATCACCCGCCTGAGGTTGACATAAACTTGCAGGTTGTGGCACAGCTTCAAAGGCACCGAATCCAATTAGTTGTCGTATGGCTCTCTCTACAGATAACAAAGCCGATGACAGTCATCACTGCATCAAAGACACACTGCCGCTGAGTGGATTCTGAATCACGGTGACTCCAGACCTCGGGGTTCTGCAGCTGTGAAACTTCACGGAAGCAGGGAGCCTCATCTCTCCCCTACAAAGCCAGTAGTAGGCTCCAGCTGATGGATGACCTTGCGGTTGGCAGCCCTGTGCCTAACCCACTGTGCCACCAGGGCTCCTGGAATCTGCAGTACATGTGTGGTTAGGTGCCATCAAGCCCCTGCTCGCTCGTAGGGACCCCGTCTCTGTGCAACCGAGGGAAACGCCAGCGGTTCCTGTGCCATGGTCACGGCCACTGTGCCAATCCTTCTTGGACAGGACCTTCCTCTTCCTCAGCGCCCCTCCCTTCGCCAAGCATGGCGTCTCTCTGCAGGGTCTGGTCTCTCCTGGCAGCATCTCCAAAGCACGTGAGATGGGCCTTGTCATCTTTCTCTCGAAGGAGCCTGTTGGCTGTCCCTCTCCAAGCCGGATTTGTCTGTTCTTTTGTCAGTCCACGGTGCTTTCAATATGCGTCACCTGCACCACGGTTCATCCCAGCAAGCCCTTAAATCACGTGTGTCCCAGCTCTGCGGGGCTGTGCATGCACTAGCTCATTCTGTCTCCAGTGAGTACCACCACCCGCTGGTTCAGCGTACCAAAGAGACCCCAAATCCCAAATTTTAATTTAAGGAGAACTTTGTTATGTCTTAAACAGGAGAAGCAGAGAGCCGAGACATGTTATCTGGATGGAGGAGACCATTAGCACGAGGTCCTAATGGGGTCCAATTGTTGGCAGAGACCAAAAGCTTAGGTAGGACATGGGAGGATAAAGGAAACTGTCAGAGAAACTTGATGGGTCACAGATCAGCCCATCACAGGTGCAGGCGGGATTATAGAAATAGGGAGGGGACCATAATGTACATTATGCTAAACAAAAGAGCTTACAAGATTGGTCCAGGGTCACATGAGCAATGGGGAACCGATTACAAGGATCTACATGTGACCTCCTCCCTGGGGGACGGACAACAGAAAAGTGGGTGAAGGGAGACGTTGGACAGAGCAAGACATGACAAAATAATAGTTTATAAATTATCAAGGGCTCATGAGGGAGGGGAGAGCAGGGAAGGAGGGGAAAAATGTGGACCTGATGCCGGGGGCTTAAGTGGAGAGCAAATGTATTGAGAATGATGAGGGCAATGAATGTACAAATGTGCCTTACACAATTGATGTATGTAGGGATTGTGATAAGAGTTGTATGAGCCCCTAATAAAATGATTAAAACAAACAAACAAACAAATAAATAAATAAATAAATAAAAATAATAAAAGATTGGTCCAGGGCCTTCCAACCAAGGCAGTCAAGCCATGATTCACGACTACGTGACCCCAGTACTCCAATCTCCATCAAGGACACACTCAGGAAAGCCCCAAGACAGACTGCGCCTCCTGGGCTGATTAGGGTGCTGATGGTCATCTACTTTCTACTGCACTTGGCCTGAGGGTGAGACTGTTTATATTCCTGGTTAATAGCCAGAGGATTGTGTTGTTGTTGTTATTGATAAGTGCCTGAGTCAGCACAACAGAACAAAACACTCCCGGTCCTGCACCATCCTCACAATTGTTTCTAGGTGTGAGCCCATCATTGTATGTCAACCCATCTCCTTGAGGGCCCTTCTTGTAAGCTGTCCCTCCACTTCACCAAGCAAAGCATGTGAGAAGAAGTCTTGCCACCCTTGCCTCTAAGGGGCACTCTGGCCGTATTTCTTCCAAGACAGTTCTGTGTGTCCTTTTGGCTGTCCATGGTACTTTCACGGAGGCTTGCTGCACTTGAGGAGAAGGGTTGGCAGTCTGACAGTGACTCTACCCTGCAGGGTCTTTCGGGTTGCTCTGACTCAGAATCAGCTCGGTAGCAGTGACTGTGAGCAGAGTGACCCTCTCAGGGCCTCTGTAAGAGGATTTGGGGCTTTCACTGCTGTCCAGCGCCTTTTCCAAACCTGGTGCTCAAAATTCCACCTGAGTTCTTTCTGACCGTTAACCAGCAAGGTCAAAAGGTTTGTCGCTGGTAGAGTGCGTTTCAAAGGATCAAACAAACACAACTCACTGCTGTGGAGTTGATGTGACCCTATAGGACAGGGTAGAACTGCCCCTGTGGGTTTTAGAGACTGTAACTCTTTTAGGGCGTATACACCCTCATCTTTCAAGAAGCAACTGATGGTTTCGAACTGCCGACGTTTTGGTTAGGAGCCCAATTTGTCACTACTGGGTCACCAGGGCTCCTTTTTAAAGGTGGCTTCAACAAGTTAATGGACTCTTTCTAGCCAGTGCCGAGCGATGGGCATCTCTTGGGACAACTGACACAAGCGCTACAAGACTGGGGGCAAGAGAGCCCCACCACAAGAAGCTGAAGTATGAGCTGGGGTGCCCGGCTGCCAACACTAAGATTGGCCCTGCCACATCCACACAGTTCGTGTGAGCGCAGGCAACAAGAGGTACAAGAGGCTGGATGTGGGGAACTTCTCCTGGGGCTCCTAGTGTTGTGTCCGCAAAACAAGAATCCTTGACGCTGTCCACAACGCATCCAGCCACGAGCTGGTCCGGACCAAGACCCTGGTGAAGAACTGCATCGTGCTCATTGACAGCACACCATGCTGCCAGTGATGCCAGCCCCACGAAGCACTGCCCCTGGGCCAGAAGGGGGCCAAACTGACTCCTGAAGTGGAAGAGTTATGAAATAAAAAGCAATCAAATAAAACTCAGAAAAAAATACGACGAAAGGAAACAGAATGCAGAAATCAGCAGTCTTCTGGAGGAGCAGTTTGGGCTGGGCAAGCTTCTTGCCTGTGTCGCTTCGAGGCCAGGCCAGCGTGGCCGAGCTAGAGGGGGAGGAGCTGGGTTCTCTCTGAGGAAAATCAAACTCGAAAAGGCAACTAAACCTTCCCATCCAAGCACATGCATTAAAGGGACTAATTCTAAAAAAAAAAAAAATTAATGGAAAAATTCAACCATCAATCTTTTAGTTCCATTTATCCGCAAACTTTATTTTATGAGGGGCTCTTATAACAAGCCATACGTCAATTGTATCAAGCATATTTGTGCATATGTATCCACAACCCTTTTGAAGCTCCCCCCAGCCCAGTCGATTACAACTCTCCCAGCCAGCGAAGGTGGTGCAGGTGTTATGCATTAGGCTGCGATCTGCAGGCCAGCAGTTCAAAACCATCACTTAGGAGAAAGATGGGGCTTTCTTTTCCCTTCAAGAGGCACAGTCTTAGAATCCCACAGGGGCAGCTTTACCCTGTCCTCTGGGGTCCCTAAGAGTTGGCATTGACTCGATGGCAGTGAGGGAGTGAGCGAGTGAGCCAGCCAAGGGGAAGTGCCCTGGAGGCACTCTGGCTTAGGGATGTGCTGGCAACTGTCAGATCCATGGTTCAAACCCACCAGCAGCTCCGTGGGAGGATGAGATGAGCATCTCATCCTGCAAAGGTGCACAGCCTCTGAAGGCCACGGGCTTGCTGGGAGTCAGATGGCAGTGTGCTTGGTGTTGATGGGTTGGGGGGTCAGCCCAGGGAAAGACGGGTCTTGCCTGGGATGTCCTGAGTTATACCCTTGGCCATCAAGTCGCCAGGTGGTTGGAATCCATCCTGTAAACGTCTAATCTGCCAGTCATACTTTTGATCTTGCTCCGACAGCCCCACCGTCCACAGGGATGTCCTGTGAAGACGACCTTTGTGTTCCATGGTCCCTAGTGAAACTGTGAATCCACGGCCTCGTGCTGAGGGTCTCCCTCATCCGGACGGTGTGTCTCTGTCCTGTTTAAAGACTTCAATAGAGGGGTCTCTCTAAAGTATATTTGAATTCTGGATCCTTTCCTCTCCGCCCTGGTGGCATCGTGGGTGCACCCTGGGTGGCCAACTTCACGGTCAGCGGTTAGAAACCACCAGGCGCTCTGACCAGGCTTTCTACGCCTGTACAGAGTTACAGTCTCAGAAACCCACAGGGGCCCTTCTCGCCTGTCCTATCAGGTAGCTATGATGGCATCAGTGGCTGACAGTGGGTGGGAGTGCAAGTTTTCCTCCCAGTAGCAGCGTGGGGAGGAAGGGCTGATCACTGTCGGAAGGTGAACGGTGCATCAGTGCTTTAATTTGGAGCATCAGGTTTTACAAAGGCTAAGACCCATTTTGTGTCTCCGCACACACTCAGACCCATTTCGGTCTTTCCGACCGCTGACCAGCAATATGAAAAGCTTGGCCCTCTGTCAGTGTGTTTGAAAGTGGATTACTGCCCTTCCTT